GGCAGGAGGCCAGCTCACCTGCTTTCCAGATGGGGCCTGGCTGGGGCATCCCCGCCCGGGCCAGGAAAGCGGGCCTCGGATGCCCGCGGTTTGGACGCCCGCCCCGCGCCAGGGACACTTCCAGCGCGAGTCGCGCAGGAAGCGGATGCCAGGACACCACCGGCATCAGACAGACGATGCCGGGCACCGCGGGGGTGTGGGTGAGGGTGGTGACCGGGAGGGGACCGTGCACCTGGCAGCCCGGGTGTCCGGCCGCCTCCAGAGCCCCCGGATTATGCGGCCCCCCTGCGTCCCAGCGTGCCCCTGGGCCCATAATTAAGGTGAGTAAGGTCCTGGAAATAGCCGAATGGAGGCCGGGTGACTGACCGGGCGTCCATGCCTTCTTGGCATGCAGGAAAAAGTGCTGGGGGTGGACGAGGTAGGGGCCAGGAGGAGGAAGCCAACCTTTGTTCCCTGCCTGCACCTGCTCAGGGCTGTGTGCTGCCGGCCCCCAGCCCAGTTCCCTGCTGCCCTGCCCCCAGTAGGTGCTCAGGTCTTGTCCATCTTGCTCATTGGTGGTGGTGGTGCTGAGCTCACAGCCCAGAGATCTGGACTCTGTGGAGAAGACCATGTCACAAGTAACCCTCCGATTGCAGGTGGGACACACTGGCTGCTGAAAGCCAAGAGGCCTGACTGAGGAAGACGAAGGAGGCAGCCTTCAGTGTGGACAGCACCTCCAGGCGGAGAGCAGAGAGCCTCACCCTAGAACCAACATGCCACAGGGTGGCGGGCTGGGAGAAGACGAGTTATCCAGGAGTTCACTTTGCGAGGTTCCTCATTCGCGAGCCACGGGTGACTCACGTGTGGGAGCAGCAGCACTGCCAGGCCTTGGGCAAAGGTCTCCTTCAAAGTGTCAGAGAGCAACAAAAGGCCACTGTGAGGACCCAGGTGCACACGACTGACCCAATCGCCTCGTGTCGGCCTGAGGAAACACCACAGAAGAATGCGGGCCTCAGAGTGATGGTGGTGGAGAGGGTTATTCAAAGAGCCGCAGACAGCACCGCGAACTGACATGTCTGTCTCGCAGGATGGACAGCCAGACAGCTTCTTAGAAGTGAGGGTGGCAAGACCTCCTCTTATGCACTTTGGAGTAGTCAGAGGAGTCCTTGGCCGGTGAGGAGGAGGAGAGCCTCAAGGAGATGGATGGACGCAGCGCAGCAGCTATAGCAACGGGCCCAGGCAGACAAGGCCACAACGCTGAGGAGGGGGCAGGGCCAGGCGGTGTTTCCCTCTGCTGCGCGTGGAACTGCTGTGGGTCAGGACTTATTCAACGACATCAAGTAAGAACCACATGCAGTGGAAGTGAGGCCATTCACCAAGCCTCTCTGGTGTGCCAGGAGCCTTACCATCGACACCGGCCTACCACTCAGCTGTGGGACAACAACTGAGTTGTCTGCTCTGCCCTCCAAGGGCATCAGGACAGTCACATGTGTGCTTTGGGCCATTGTGTTTCTTTTAAGTGGTGCCAGGTACAGTCATACAAGTGTCCCTGTGTCCACACGACAGCGCTGAGAGGTGGGCCCTTGGGCCTGCTCCCTCCTCCCAGAGGAGCATGTGAGATGCCAGAAGGGGAGCAGTTTGGCCACCCTCCCGAGCAACAGGACCCCAGACTCCTTCATGCAGTCTCTGTACATCCATGGGTGCCAAGTTGCTCCAGGGGTGTTGTGGGTAGAATGGTGGTCCCAAAGAGTCCTGTGACTGGGATCCCCCTTGGAAGAGGGCACCTGAGATGCTACCAGCTGGTAACTCCTGCAGCCACCAGAAGTTTTGAGGGTTGGGGCAGACCTCCCTCAGAACCAGAGACTTCCTGTCCCAGACCTCTGGCCTCCCAAGCTGGGAGAGAAACAAGCACAACAGTGACTACATGTTGGGCTGCCAGCTGTGAGGTCACCAGTCCCCCAGGGAGAAAGGTACCAGTCACACCGAGGGAGAAAAATATGAGGCTTTTCCTCCCACAAAGAGTTACAGTCTCAGAAACCCACAGGAGCGGGTCGACCCTGTCCTGCAGGGTTCCTATGAGCCGGGATCGACTCCACAGCGAGTCTGTTTGCCTGCTTGTCTTTCCAAAGCCCCCAAACCAAACCTGCCTCCTGTTGTCCAGTCAGTTCCTACAGGACCATGTAGAACCACTACGTCAAGTTTCAAGGCTACAAATCTCCACAGAAGCAGACATGCCTCCTCTGCCTCCCAAAGAAATGCCAACCACCAACCCCTCGGTTTGCAGCTCACTGTGCCACCAGCCCTGTCCCGGAGCATCCTCCCTGGGACCCACGCTGACTCAGAGAGACCCCACACAGGTGTGCCAGAGCCTTTGCACTTTACTGGGGGCTCATCTTTCTCCCTCGGAGCAGCTGGTGGGTTTGGGCCTCTAGCTTTTCAGAGAGAAGCCCAGTGCCCGGTGCCCCCTCTCTGTTTGTGGTGTGCTGCTGGGGCAGCCGCCGGATTCCCAGGGTGTGTGTTTGCTGACAAGCAGGACTGTGAGGGTGAAGGTGGCCAGTGGGAAGGTGCAGGCCGGGGCAGGAGGCCAGCTCACCTGCTTTCCAGATGGGCGTGGAGCAGGTGAAGGGCAGGCTGGCCAGGGCCACTCCTGCTGGCGGCCCCTTTTTGTAAAAGGTGCAAGGTCTGGCTGGATTTCATTTTGCCCGATGTCCACTCGCCCTCCACGCCCTTTGCTGAAGGGGCTGACCTTCTGTCTTTGAAGGGCGTTTGTGCCAGTATCTTGGCTGCCTGATCTCCACTGGAGCCCCTGTTCCTCAGCCAGGCTCATCAGCCCAACTTACAGAACCTGTCGATCGATTCCAGCGGCCTGGCTGCAGGTGTCCCCGGGCGGGTCAGAGCAGAAATGTCTCCCTGGGGCCCTGAAGCCGATGTTTCAGAAGTGTTCTCCAGGCCT